TAAAATAAATAATATTAAAATTGATTTTTTAATATAAAAATATAATTTTTCTTTAAAATAAACAGTACTTAGAGCATTTCGTTAAATTTCTCTTAATTGTATAGGGTAACTACACTTAATTTGGACCTTGGTTTGGGACCATAACACTTTGGTCTCTGATTCTTAATAATTGACGACAACATTTTTTAGAGTTACATAATGTTTCACTGTAATATCTGATTCTTAGTCGTCAAACTATCAAGTTAATTTACTACTACAACTTGACCTGACAACTAGTAAAGCTGTTCTTGCTTATATGAATGTTGGACTAGCCACGCTTGGGTATTTTTTTTTCATCGCTTTATAGGGGGTTAGGTTTTTTTTGACAAAAAGTTTTGATTTATTTGATTTAGGACAAGATACATATCAATTCTAACGAAGAAAGATGAAGAAAATAAAATAGTTCAAATTCTAAAAAAGAATAATTAAAGTTTACAAATATTGGATTCAATCAATATAGCTACAGAAAATGCAGCAAGAAATATTCTAATGTCAGAATTGGACATATAATATGTTGATTCTGAAGAAAATCATGAGCAAATCAGGACTCATGATTTACCATGAGCCCGTCGTGTTTAAGCAAAAAAAAAACAATCGCTTAGACTTCCAGAACCACAAAATTAAGTTTGTAATAAATTTTAGACTTTTCAATTGTCTTCCGCTTAATGTCTATTATTTTCGTTTTAATTTCTTAAGGCTTTTGAGTTGTCCCAGTGTGTTGTAAACAACTTTTTAAGTTGTGGTTGTTTCCCATTGTAATCATCAATTCAATCTTTAATAAAAAAAACTTTTTTGGGATTTCTTTCAAACAACTGGTGAATTCCATATTTTAGTTCTACAAGGATTTATGCTTGTAATCCTTCTTATATTGTGATTTGATTATTGTTCGTATGGCATTCGAGAGTACACTTGTTACCAAGGTGCAATGTAGGAGAGCAACTTCCATAGCATTATTACACCACCATCGTGGTTTCAGTGTCAATGATCTAATGCCATGTGGATAAAGACTTACCCATGATCCTATATCATTGGCATTGGATGCCACAATCACTGGCGGAGCTACACCCACGGCTACAGTGGGCTGTAGCCTAGGGAGGATTTTAACAAACTGCTGGTATAATAGTTTATATATGAGTTTGTTGTTGCTTATTGTATATATAATAGTCCACCTAAATCCTGCCAAAATTATTAGTTAATGTGTTTCTTAATTTATAAATAATACTTTTATTACCTTATATTATTTTATTATTTTTAGGCTAAAAGTAAAAATGGTAAATTAATACATAATTAGGTTTCTCATATTCCCTATGCTTTTTACCTATTCGTTCAAAACAAAAAAATTAAACCCTCTACCCTAAGAAAAGAAAAACTATGAATCACCATCAAATTAATTTCTAATGAAATTCAACACTAGGTATGCTCTTCATGTCTTCATTTAACCTATTTCTTGATTCAATTGTTAGGTTAATTTTTTTTTAGTCCTTGAATTTGTCTATTAGGGTTAAAGATTATGGGAATAGTCCATGTTTCATGGTTTTTGTATTTGTAACTAATAAAAAGGGCTCAACAACAATATCGATTCTAATAATAACAAAAGATTTCAATTTCATTTCATATATCTACGGCACGACTTGAATTGGTATCCCCTAACCTTTTTTTCTTTTGGGTACTTGTTATCAACAAAAGTGATAATATTTGTTCTCTTTCTATTGCTTTTTTGTATGCATGTTTTATTTGTGTAAAAATTAGTTGGAAAGTAATTTATAAACTTGTTTGGATTAGTACTTCATGTTCTTACTTTTATGTAGATTACTATATAATTTTATGTAGGCAAAAAAAAAAATTTCATAAGATTATATGCTAATAATTTTAGTTAGCCCACCCAAGAAAAATTTTCTGGCTCCGCTATTGACCACAATACTCTGCATAAATGTCATATGTGTCATTCTCCCAATGTAGAATCCATGCAAGCACAAAATAAATCCAAGGAGTGTCACATAAAAAAACAACAGTCGACGTGATAATTAAACAGCCCTAGCGGCCAATAATTAATATAACAATTTGTTACCAATTTTTGAAAGACAGCAAGCCCAATATTACTCATCCTATATATGAGAGAACTTGTGATTACCTATCATGCATGCGGGTGATAAATATATAATTGTTGTACATGAAAATGGTTTGAGAGAGAATGAGAAAATTCTATTAGAGAATTTCTCTTTAATTGATTTATTTTTTTAACAATAAAAAAATTTAAACTCAAAATACAATGAGTTATAAAATAATATCCTAATCACAGAGCAATCGATCACTTGCCAAGTCAGATTATTAATTTCTTTTTGGAAAGGAAGATACTTTATTAATTGCACTTACATTGCATAGTTGAGTAAAGGTAAATCCATGCACCTTGCATATTATCCACAAAAAGTTTAAAGCTAGCACATGCCAGTAATAAAAGCAAGAATATTTAGTAATATATTTGAATGGAGTAATTTTAATCCTTATCTCATCTTGTGTCAAAATCAACTGTGTCCATGATTCTTCGTTATTGATGCGCCATGAATGGCAAATGGCATTGGACTGTGTGGGAGAATTATTATGGGGAGAAAATTTTCATTGTTATCAGAACACAGATAGTACATTACGTGTTTGTATTTAAATGATGAGAAATTTTATTTTTTAAGTTATTAACTTTTTAACACATATCTCATCATTTGTATGTACTATCCCGTGTACCGATCATAATAAACAAATCTTTCTATTATGAGAACAGTTTATATACACAAATTCAGCGTTTTGAAATGTTACAATTCAATATATTTCATTGTCTTTAGAACGGAGCACTATATCAGTGATCATGTTCTGTCTCAATTAGTCCCAGTGTGACATATACTGCTATCCTCCATATCCCTTTCTGTTTTTCCACTCTCTTGTTTTTGTCAATTAAAGAGCAATTTTCTGTCTGCAAATTATGGTGGAAACATATTAAGTTTTATTTAATCTTATCCACAGATTATCGAAGTTTAAGCAGTTACAATTACGGAGACAAAACCATATCTAAATTTAAGGAGTCAAAACCATATCCATTTTTCTCTCTCAGTTACCGACCATATTTTTTACCATTTTTTTCTTTTTTCTTTTTAGCAAATTACTAGTTGGATTATGGATATGATTAAAGACCAAGTGTACTTCAGTTGCCTAATTTTACTCATGTCAGAGTGCTACTCAGTCCACTCGTGAGGATAAAGGGTGGGTTCGGTACGGTTACCGTATCAAAACCCTTGTACCAATTACCGTACCAAACTTTCGGTTTGGTAAAATCTATTACCATTACCGTACCAAACTTTTGGTATACCGAAGTTCGGTATTGCCAAAAGTTTGGTTGGCATGTTATGGCAATGGTAATTGCCATTTCGTTTTGGGACAAAATATGTTTTTGTTTTTTTAACCCAATTCAAGGGCAAGTTTGGTTGGCATGTTATGGCAATGGTAATTGCCATTTCGTTTTGGGACAAAATATGTTTTTGTTTTTTTAACCCAATTCAAGGGCAAAACTTTTTTTTTGTACCTTTATCTCATACATTATAGATTAAATTCATCTATTATTCATCATTCACAATTCACACACATAATAATTCAAATGAAGCATCAAGATTCATCATGAAAATTAAGCTTACAATCCAAATAGAAGTTACGAACCAAAACAAATAGAAGTTAACAATCCAAATAGAAATTAAAGTTTCAAACCAAATGAAAATTGGAAGTAAACTTCAAGAAGGAGAATTCATTGATCAGTTATTCAAGCTTGAGATGTCGAAGCTTTTGGAGGAGGCATTGAACTTGTAGAATATTGAATTTGTATCAAGCTTACATTACAAACAAAGAAAACATATTAATTAGTAGCAAGAAGAATTAAAGTTGAAAACCATTAAATAACAAATTTACTAAAAAAATTAAAGCATATCTTTCTTGTTTTCTCTTCTTCTATTTCCTTGTAAAATTGAAGCATATCTTCCATTGGTCCTTGTAGAAGTTTACTTCACCTGCCCTAAGCCAACCACTAGTACACACTAGTGCCTCAATTATTTTAGGAGTCAAGAATACCCTAAAAGGGTTCACAACCTTCCTCCATAGACTAAATGCATTTTCACTAGCAACAGTAGAAGTGGGGGTTACAAAGATATTTTGGCTATTTGTGAAAGAATTAGGAACTCTTTTGTGAATTTTAAGAGATCAAAGTCACCAACAACAATGCTAATATAAGTAGGGTTTTATTTTCAAATTATAGGAATATTATAAATATGTGTTATATAATTATGTATTATATAAATTATAAATTATAAATTATATTGTATTTTCGGTATGATACGGTAATACCGTGGTAATGGTATCCATTACCAATACCGTACCATGAAATTTTGGTACGGTACAATACCGTACCATTACCGATTGGTACAAAAAATTTGGCACAAAATCGGTATGGCAAGGTTGGCAATTCGGTTGGCACGGCAATTTGGCAAAATAATCCACCCCTAGATAAAGCTGCTGACCAACAACTAATAGGAGCGACTGAAAAGGAATCGACGGATGAAATTGAACCAACCAGCGACTGGTTCCACATCACCAAACATTATTCTTGCGGCAAGATAGAATACGCTACATATTAGCGCTTAAAATGAGTAAAAACTCCACAAAAACATATGTTTCCAACCAATTAATCAAAAAAGGACAAATGAGGAAACTGCCTCTTAACAATTGGTTAGAAATAGAATGGTGATGGCAGCATGGAATTGCTGCTGGTCTTTATCCTAACCTTTTAGGTGAGCTAAGTACTCGGAGAGATAGGATTTAACCATGGTTAGATTGTAACCAGAGTTGTCCCTCAACCCTATATAAAGACACCCCCTCACCCCTCTTTTGCCTCACCATTTGCTTCTCACCAATTACTCATTACCCTCAACTTTGATGCTCTCTCTCACTCCCTCATTATTTTTCATTTTCCATTAGTCTCCTCTTCATTTTTTTTCCTCCACCTCTTAATTTCTGGTAACTTCCCCCTATAATTTTGTTATTTTCGCGTTTGTATTTTTCTCTAATCATGAGATTAACTCAGAAAAAGTTTTTGTATCATGACGTGGCGTTATTAGTTTTATGTATCTATTTCTGATCACATAAATATGTGATATGAAAAAAGAAGTAGACACGTAAAAGAGAATAAAAAACCGTTCTAATTGTCATTTGTTACTTTTCTTATCGCGTGATAAAAGAGATGAACGCAAAATCTAATTAAGGCTCTATACTAACTACAATTTTATTACACGTAAATCTGACATGAAACTGAATTATGATGATTATTTTGTGGCAGGGAAGAAGATGGCGTCGAATGGGAACGGAGAGTTCAGCTTTGCGAGCGGAAACGGAACGGTGGCAACGGCGGCAAACGGTAACGGAACGGCGAGGAACGGGCTGGCGAAGATCCAGACGCAGAAGAAGGACAATGGAGTGTGTCACGACGACAGTACGCCACCTGTGAAGGCGCAGACGATCGACGAGCTCCACTCGCTGCAGAAGAAGAAGTCGGCACCCACCACCCCAATCAAGGGCACTCAGGGTGGTGCCTTTGCCGTCACCCTCTCTGAGGAGGAGCGACAAAAGCAGCAGCTCCAGTCCATCAGGTATGCACTTGTCGCCACACCCATGCACCCTCGTCACCCTTTCAAGTCCAAATAAATTTTTAGAACTTTTATCTTATTTCAAGTTATTTTGTGGAAAATATTTTAGAACCACACCCCAAAAATTTCATAGCACGCCGTATTGTGATTTAATTGGAATTTACATGCACTTGAGATGCTATAATAACGGTATCTGAAATTAAATTTTATTACAAATTATTGTGTATATTGATTTTTTTTATCTATAATATTACTTGATTGCCTTGATATATCATTATTGTTGCGCTCTAGTTGTAACATCTATGAGAGAAACTTTAAATTTTTATTAAATTAGCAAGTGACAGTATCAAAATAAATGTTTTAACTATTCATTTTATCCATTCATCTTCAATAACAGTCTACTTTAACAAACGTTAAATATTTTATTATTAACAATCTATGCCTAACTCCCTGATTTTTCAAAACAACCTTCTCTTTTTTTTTTCCTTTCTCAAGGTTAAATTTATTATTTTTTAACATTTAACAAGTGAATAGTTTCTCTAAATTTAAAAAGTACATTTTTGTTCATTTTGTTGAGATGAATTTTTGTTGTTTTCAAATGAAGAATGGACCCGCAGTACGACCCAGGATTATGTGGGCCCTCCCTCAAGATCAAATGAAATTGGGTTTTTATGGTGTTTTTCAAAGAAAAAATAATCTCCAAATAGTGGGACAGGCCCGTAATTTCCTGCTTGGTTTAATTTTGACAAACAAACAGACCTCGAATTTTCCCGGAAAGTCATATTCCGGGAAAATGGACTTGATGTCACGACCTTGAAAATTCGCATACCTTGGCTTGATTTCCTCGCCTTGTGGTTTTGATCTGTTTGTGCTGAATCTGTGGGTGGTAGTGCATCTTTGGCATCGCTGACGAGAGAGACGGGACCAAAGGTTGTTCGAGGAGACCCGGCCAAGCAGTCCGATACCCCCAAGGTTTCGTCGCACGTGTCGCACCACCACCACTTCACGCCCACCATTAGCGTCAGTGACAGCGCCTTGAAGTTCACACATGTCCTCTACAACCTTTCTCCAGCTGGTAATACCACCACTATATATGACCATCCTTCACAATTTGCATCAATGGATAGGATAGGATAACGTTGTTTTGCTAGACTTACGTCGTGTCAGACATCTATTTATATAGAATATGTTGTCGATACTTACGTTGCTATACAGTCTAGCATAAGAACACATTTCTCTTTATCAAATAACGGAAACAGATGCATGCAAAGTTTGTCTAGGGTTAGGGTCAGGATTTTGACATCTAATTTAACCTATGAGATTTCGAAGTGATTACTCTGTAAATGAGAGTGCCAAACTCTAAATTGAGACTGTGAAAATCGTTACTCTCAATTTATATGCTAAACTGATTGAGGTAGGACCCTGAACATTAGGGGTTTTTTTATTGATGTTTGGTTTTGGGTGGTATGCGGTGCAGAGTTATATGAGCAGGCAATAAAGTATGAGAAAGGGTCGTTCGTTACGTCAACCGGCGCGCTAGCAACTCTTTCTGGAGCCAAGACTGGTCGCTCTCCAAGAGACAAACGCGTCGTCAAGGATGACACCACCCGGGACGACCTTTGGTGGGGAAGGTAATAACTAATTATAATTACTGCCGCCCGCATTTTTCACTTTTACCTTTTGTTACTGTGTGTAATTATACATAGACGTGGTGGTTATTTTCATCTGTAGCGGCTCACCTAACATTGAAATGGACGAGCATACGTTCATGGTCAACAGAGAAAGAGCTGTGGATTACTTGAATTCTTTGGACAAGGTCTTTACTTTTTCTCTTTTTTTTTCTTGTTTTTTCCTGCTAAGAAACGACGAATTTATAGGTAATAAGTTTCAAAATTTGACTCGTGTTTATTCAATACCACGTCATTATATTAGAAACTAGATTTACTTGTATTTTATAAAACAGGTAAAAAGAGTTGCCTGGTTTAGAATATTTACATGTTGAGGAAAAAGATTGGTGGTGGAAAAATGCATGCATGTTCGTATCCTTGGAATATATTGCTTTTAGGAGATAGTGATGCGTGGGTGGTGGCATCTCCCTTGTCCTTTTCCACAACTTGGCCAAGATTTCATTGGGAGTAGCAATGTTATCGATATTATCGGTTACAATTATCCGCATAATTTACTCATACATGTTTGAGCGGTGCTCTGTATTTTATCATATGCTTGCTGTGTTGTACTCGACCTCGTCACTACTTCACTGGGAAAGAAGGAATTATTCATAAAGAACATGCATTAATACCAGTCAACTGTTCACTTTGTTGAGAAATTATTGTTTGTCACTAAAACACCGCATAGATATATTACAACACGTTATGATACATTGATAATTTAATACCAGTCAGACTGTTCCCTACAGTCCATACTGTTATGATGTTTACAAATATGTAAAATAGCTTAATGAACTAAGAAAGTAGCTGAAAAAATGTCTTTGTTTATAAGATGGGAAAAATGTTTGGGGGAAGAAATTAGTTGTTGAGTACGGATAGATAATTTGTGTATAGCTATATTCTTTTTCGTACCTTGTTGATTAAGAAGCGAGTGGCGGGGAGTAAGGGTGATTGACATTTTGATATTTACAGGTCTTTGTAAATGATCAATTTTTGAATTGGGATCCAGAAAACAGAATCAAAGTTCGGGTCGTGTCTGCCAGGGCTTATCACTCATTGTTTATGCACAACATGTAAGTAAAGCTTAGGAGTTTTTATGAACAATTTGCTTCCTCTGCAGTGTATATTTCTGTATACGTTCCTTCCTCCTTTGGGTAAGCCTGCCAGATAAGTCCTCTTAACGTTGCGTATGAGTTTTGACATGTAATCTTTTCCGAGTATTACCTATGTATCGTCCCTAAGCACGTAGGTTTCCGTCTAGGTAGGTGAAAACATGTGTGATATTAGCTTAGTGTGCGTACAATTCTATAACTCGATGGGTCGCAGGTGTATCCGACCCACTCCTGAAGAGCTGGAGAATTTTGGTACTCCGGACTTCACTATATACAATGCCGGCCAGTTCCCATGTAATCGTTACACCCACTACATGACATCCTCTACTAGCATAGACCTTAATCTTGCTAGGAGGGAAATGGTCATCCTCGGCACCATGTACGCTGGGGAAATGAAGAAAGGTCTTTTCAGTGTCATGCATTATCTCATGCCTAAGCGACAAATCCTATCCCTGCATTCTGGCTGCAATATGGGGAAAGATGGAGATGTTGCCCTTTTCTTTGGATTGTCAGGTATAGTATCATCATTAGATCACGGTTGTCGTCTTGCTCTCGCAGCCATATGATATGTGCCCACTTACTCTCTCTCGCTCTATGTTAGCTATGACAGTTTAATTGTTTCTTATGGATGCTATTTGCCTTTTCTTTTCATTTTACTATTTAGGTACTGGAAAGACGACTCTGTCTACGGATCACAATAGGTACTTGATTGGAGATGATGAACACTGCTGGACTGAGAACGGTGTGTCAAATATCGAAGGTGGTTGCTACGCCAAGTGCATTGACCTGTCAAGGGAGAAAGAACCTGATATTTGGAACGCCATCAAGTTTGGCGCTGGTAATATATCACCTTGATTTCTTGGATATGTGGATATGATAGAATCAAGATGATGAAGAAGTAATAGTGTTTAATTTGTTTGGTCTTTTGAATTCGACTTGAATTTATCGAATTTTTCTTTTTTGGCAGTGTTGGAAAACATCGTGTTTGATGAGTATACACGAGAGGTGGACTATTCTGACAAATCTGTTACAGGTAAATATCAATTGTTTTCATCCCAAAATTCACACAATTTGAGTTTGAATCTCATACGGTGATTGATTATGCTTATACATAATTCTGATGGACCATATAATATATTGAGCTGTTTTTCTTCTGGTTGCAGAGAACACTCGTGCAGCTTATCCCATCGAATACATTCCCAATGCAAAGATACCATGCGTTGGTCCACATCCAAAGAATGTCATACTTTTGGCATGCGATGCATTTGGTGTGCTCCCTCCTGTGAGCAAGTTAAACCTTGCTCAGACCATGTACCACTTCATCAGTGGCTACACTGCTCTGGTAAATTCAACTTCTCTATTTGTACTCGTGAACACATAAATTTCGGTTACTATATTAACTAATTGTTGATAAATTTATAGGTTGCTGGAACTGAAGATGGTATCAAGGAGCCAACAGCAACATTCTCAGCATGCTTCGGTGCAGCATTTATAATGTTGCATCCTACTAAGTATGCAGCAATGCTGGCTGAGAAGATGCAGAAGCACGGTGCAACAGGATGGCTGGTTAACACTGGCTGGTCCGGTGGAAGGTATATGTGCATTCAATTATCATCATAATTTTAAAGAATCATTTCCGTGAGAAAATCTTAACCAAACAAACATCTTTCTTTCCTGCAGCTATGGATCCGGAAAGCGCATTAAGTTGCCCTACACCAGGAAAATCATTGACGCCATCCACTCCGGCAGCCTCTTAAATGCGAAGTACAAGAAGACTGAAGTGTTTGGACTTGAAATCCCCACTGAGGTCGAGGGAGTGCCTTCAGAAATACTGGATCCAATGAACACTGTAAGTTGGTTTTCTCTTTATATACCGTTTCCCTGTTCATTCGGTCTTGACCTTCATCATTAATGTGATATCCGAATCTTATATGTGGTTGCAGTGGTCGGACAAGAATGCATACAATGAAACTCTGATGAAGCTAGCTGGCCTCTTCAAGAGGAACTTTGAGACTTTCACAAACTACAAGATTGGGAAGGACAACAAGCTGACCGAGGAGATACTTGCGGCCGGACCAAATTTCTAAAACCTTGGCAGAAAAGGAGAATAACTAGAAACTCTAGGGAAGCTTGGGGGTCAAGGCAATTGATGGAAATAAGAATTGGACAGATTCAGAAGTAGGCGTATTGTTATTCTATTTATTAGATATGCTAAATGGTTCTTTTGTACTTTTTTATGTCCTATTAATATATATAATCAAAGGAGGTTGTTTCTCTCAATTTCCTTCCCCTCTCATTTTCTTCAAAATTCATCTGTTTCGAAGTTAATTTGACAATCTGGACACAAATTTAAATGGAAACAAAGAAAAGAAGGCAGTTTCCAGTCACCAATTTACAAAATTGAGTAGTTTTGGACAGTATTTAGAAGTTATAATAGAATGCCTTACTATATTCTAGCTAAGGGGCACCTGACTCTCAACTTATATTTTTCTCAGACTGATGCGAGCTCCGTCTTAGACTCAAATCTTATATTGAAACTCAAATATTTTAACTTCACTCAAAAAGTATTTCAAGTTTCCAAATCAAAATCAAAATCAAAATACAAATCTTGTCTGCCAGGGCTTTCCATTCATTGTTCATGCACAACATTCAAGTTTTGAGGTATGTTCCACGTCGGAAACCTGCACGAAGATACATAAGACTCACGAACGATTGATTTTGATGTCATTGTAAAACTCGTGCATGAGCTTCATTTGTGTACATTTGCAGGTGTATCCTACCCACTCCTAAAGAGCCGGAGAATTTCGGAACTCCAGACTTCACCATCTAGTGCCGGACAGTTTGCCTGCAATCGTTACACTCAACACGTGACATCCTCTACCAGCATAGACATCAATCTTGCTAGGAAAGAAATGGTCATCCTCGGATCCATGGACGCTGGGCCTTTTCAGCTTTATGCATTATCTCATCCCTAGGCGACAGATCATCTCCCTACATCCTGGTTGCAATCTGGGGAAAGACGAAGATGTCGTGCTCTTGTTTGGATTGTCGGGATATAGAACCAACTGATGTTTAATCGTAGAGTGCATGCTAAGAGGCTAGTTGGTTCTGATAAATGTTTGCTAACATGTTTGAATAATTAGGTACAAGAAAGACAACTCTGTCAACGGATCACAACAGGTTCTTAATTGGAGACGATGAACACTATTGGAGCGAGACTGGTGTATCAAACATCGAAGGTGCTTGCTATACCAAGTGCATCTCTCAAGGGAGAACTAAAATATCACCTAATTTTGTCACATGGGTTTTGGGATGGTCAATGGATTGTAAATTACACTACCCTTGTAAACTAATATTCAATATAATGAAGGTTTTATTTCCTTGTTAAAGAAAAAGCTAAATTTTTTTAAAAGTTCTATTTATAATTTTGTGAAATAAACTAAATTATGACAATTAATTTAACAATCTGACAGTAAGCAAACCTTGGCATTCAGATTTCCGCAACATTCAGGGAATAAGTTTCCAAGCATAATCCTTAATTTCGTTATTTATGAACGGACGCAAAGACCACATCAGGCAGTAGCTCTCTAACTCTCCTGAAGATGACTTGGGATTAAGTGCAGAGACGATCCTCTCCTGCATCAAGTTGTTACATTGGATGTTTTAAAAGTTCATACGAAGGGCACAGATAATGGGTATTCAGGGTGAGAGCTTTAATTACCTGCATCATATAGTCTTGCTTGACCATACTGTAAATGACACCCATCACGACAACATAATCGATAACTTCATTTCTTTTCGGATGGGATGACGTAAATTCCTCCTATAGAAGTTAGGCATCATTAAGAGGTGTTTCAAATTTATCATCAACCATAAGAAATCAGAATTGGTGTAACAATTTTACTGAGCAGTATGCAAATCTGAACTAGGAACGGAATACTTAGTGTGGAATGAACATTCAGAAAGAAAACAAAAAAGGAGAGAAAATTAGGTGATGGAAAGATCAGCCAAATATCTTAGAACTCAAAGATATAGCTCCCTCATTCCCGGAAAATCTTACACTTTCTTAATCATAATATTTTGCGACAGAAATATGCATTCAACAGTTCTATGTACCGCTCCTCTTCCCATTTTGATCAGGAAATGAATAGAAAAACTTGTAAAATAAAGGATAATCTGGAAATCAGAGATATTAAGGATTGACCTTCAAAATAGGCAAGCAGTGAAGTAAAAACTGTAAAGAAATGAGGATATTTAAGCTGGATACACAGTATAAATGTTGTACTAAGAATTTTGTAGTGAAATGAGACATTTGAATGATGGATCATATAACTTTGACCGAAACTCTGCAGATTAAACCATGCTTATTGGCAAGTGCAGGCACTCTGATTTTCAATAACAGTAAAGATTGCAGAAAATCTCCAACCCGATAAAATTACAAAGACAGTAACTCCTTAAACACCAAAGCTACAAAGAAGCAAACATGTTTCAGCTAAAACCCTAACAAAATTCCAAGCATACAATTATCAGAGTAATTTAGTGATACATTCAAATCAGTGATAACCATTGATACATGTGTCTGTGCGTATACGGGTACAAATACAACAGAAATGTACGGACAATTGGACATAAGTCCAATGATGGGCAACGATAATTACTGAACTCGGAGGCAGGGAGGGTAGATGATACAATGCTGATAATTGTACAAATAATCTATCGATATTGATTGCCAAGTGTCATGTAGTCATTGGTTTAGTTGTTTAGTGTTTGTTAGATGGACATTAGGAGTTGGTTATAGCTGTTATAGCTAACCTTAGCTTGCGAGTCAGGTATTAATACTTGTCATCTGTGCAATGCAAGGTGATTTGTGATTTTGTAAACATTGGTATTCAGTAATACAGAGAAGTATTAGCATACGAGTGCAAAGGTTAGAACAGAGTTCTATTAGGAGAAGGAACAAACAGAGATGAAACCTATCAGAACTGAATGTACAAACAGCGTCAAGATATTCCTTGGGATAAGAGAAAAGAAGGTTAAAGACTACCTTGTCACCGTTGCATGCTTCTTCATTCAACCTGTCCGCAAAACTGTCACCCTGAAAGTCGGGTAAATTTCCCATTGCAGTTCGCATTGCACCATTTACATCCTCCAGGAGGCATTCAAGTTCATTAAGTACGTTTCTGCCTACAACAGCACTTGCATTCATAAACAAAAATTTCAAGAGTACATCAAGTGTGAGATTGCATCAAGTAGGGAAATGTACCATTAACAAACTACAAACTGCAACATACATCAAACATTCAAACTACAAACTGCAACACACGAGATACGAAAGAACTACTACTACTACGAACAGATAAAACAGCTCATTGATGTAAAGGCATCACCACTTCGCTTTCCCTTTAACAAGATTCTTTTGTGATATATAATAAAAGAAACAAATAATGACAATTTCGGAAAGACATGTTACCTTTACTTAGATGGTCACAAAGTCCAAGTTGGCATGTATGCACTTCTCTACACGAATTTCACCATGTATAAGAAATACATCACGTTCATAGTCCAGACCAATAACGTATCAGAAAGTGGCAAAACTCAAAGTAAGGGAACAACACCATACAAAAACAAAGGATAGTAATTCAAGGGCAGATATAAGAAAAACATGCTCATTAGTTAGATACCCAGTAAATCAACTCTACAAATTATCAGCCAATTACAAACAAACTGTCACAACAGCAGGATAAAAGGGCATAAGTACGATCAGTGGCCTTTAACCGATATCCAATTTTTTTTATGGGGAACCGAATTCAAATGAAGAGAAAGAAGAGACTATCAATCTCTCAACTCATTCCAATTATTTCCAGTAGATTGTGAAAAATAACAGTTTTAACAAATAATTAAGCATATTTCGATAACATTATAAATCTTTGCTGATATAAAACTGATAAGAGCTTGAGAGGGTCTCAACACTCAGTTATCTAATCAACAATCCAAAGAAAGCATAAGAATATATACAGAATTGCACTCACACTTGCTTATATTTCGCCTGCCATCATCAGCGTTGAGACATCCAGCTTCAACATATGACTTAACCTTCTTTGTTTCATTACCTCGGATTATGTTTTTAACCAAATCCGATGTCTCATCTATCCGAGGTCGTCGAAGAAACTCTACAAAAACAAAAATATTACTTACTAAGAAACTAAATCAAATTTGAAACAAAACCCAGAATGCTACTTACCCAGCCCCTGCTGAAAGTTGACGAGTAATGTGCTTCCGGTGGCCACCAACTCGTCAAAATTGCTAAGCCTGCAAGATTGATGAATTTTAAAGATTGCCCAGATGAAAAAGTGAATTTCTTCCGGTAGTAAAAGACCAAAGCAGAGTTACCTGGCCATGAAATCTTTGAACCAATTGAAAATTTTGTATTCGAATTCAAAATTCGACATCGGCAATGAACTGAAGAAGTAAGGAGAAGAACTGAACAAGGAAGAAGTACAAAAAAAAGTGTGGCAGAGGTCTGAGAGTGAAGGTTCGATATGAGCTGAGAGCTTTTGATGCAGGCCACGTCGTTCTGGAATTGCGTCTGAAGGGATGTAATTAGGACGCCATTAAAAAAGCTTCGAGCTTTGTATCGGCCACTGCTATCTTTTGGATTGGGGATTTTACGGTAAATGGAGGTTGGGGTTTTGCAGCGGTGGTGAAATTAGCACCGTCCAGCGCCCCATGAACCCTACCTAAGCCCTACGCTGCTGGTCATGTGCGGATTAATTCTTAATGCGTTTCAAAGTTAAGAAATTACGTGTAGACTTGCAGAGTCTGTTTCAGTCTAGATCGTGACTTTCATTACAAAAAATAGACAATTTTTATTTATTTTTATATATTTTTTTAATAAATTTTAAGAGACTTATTGAATACTGAACACATATTATAAACTTGTTTCCCACATTTTCATTATGTTCTACTATTTTAAACCTATAATCATTTTATTTTGTAGTTTTTGTTATCTCAATAGAATTATATATTTTTATGTATAAATCAACACTTATTTAGATGATATATAATAATGTATTTGAACTCGCCTAATTCCCTTAGGCCTCCGCCTAAGCGCTAAGCTCCGCACCTAGGCACGAAGCTTCAGCTAAATTAGCTACTAGATCCGTCCATCCTAACAAATAAAACAACAATGCGCATTAATATATCACAACCACAGTCAGCATATATCCAAATTCCAATCAATAAATAAAATAAATGGTTCAAAAATCTGAGCATTCAACATAGAAGTATCGTGTATTTGAACTAAGAAGCAAATAAAAACCAGCTCGTTTCTAAACTAGGAGAATATAAGTAGCCCCACCCCCACAAAGATAATACAAACATGAAAGCTGGAACCTACATACAAGATTTTTCAGCACTTACTTGTCGTGCTTGCGCTTGTATGCTAAACCTTTAAAAGCTGCTCGAGCATCAGCAAGTTCAAGAAAAACAACCTGAAGAATAATAATTCAAGAAAATAATTAGTAGAGAATCACTCTTTAACAACACAGCATCATAGTAGACTAATATGATCAGTAATCTAGAAGTTTCTTCCTCTCTGCAGTATAAAAAGATTGGGAGAACAAAAGTACATAATGAGGCATGATCAACCAAGTGTCAAAGAGTAGTTGAAAAACTCAACTAATTAAAAAACCAAAAGCAAAGTGTCAAATTTCCTAAAACATTACAAAACTACTCTCTTCTACTCTCCTTGCCCAAACTGCGACTTAATCAAGTGCACCACAACACATTTATTCAATTATTCTTCTCACTTATTAGTAAATAGTGGAGCTCTCATATTTGGCATTAGTTAAGGAGTGGAACCAGGAAAAATGATTAATTTGCATTTAAATGTACATGATCGTAGACTAAATATTGATGTCATCAAACTGGTTTGAACCAAAAGCGTCAGTATTTGAAATTGAATCATAAAAACTTAAACAGTTAGGGTCTGGCAAACCTACAGACTTTGTAACCTCATGTCTCAATGATAGGATGCTATGTCAATTAGTTTAGTCATCTTGATGAGTAAGCATCTTATTTGTCAATTAGCTAACTAACAGTTAATTATGTGATTAGCAATTAGTTAATTCATGGGTCTTTAGCTGAACTTGCAGCCAACTATATATAGTTGAGTTAAGTGAATGATATGTGAGAGTTCTTAAATGTGATTCTGTTTCTCTTTCAGTGTCAAGGTTTAAACAAGGTTCTTTTACTCTACATAGTAGGCTATAATGGAATCAGGAAAGTTGATCATCTAAAATATTTTGACTGAACTAACAATATCGTTAGCAATTAAAACTTAAAACCCTAAATTAAATTTCAAAAGGAAGACATAAATTAGATTTCAAAACACTAAATTAATTACCTAATTTGGGGTGAGAGTGAGACTCGAACTCGGTGTGGTGGTGAGAGAGATCGTGAGAGAGAGTGGTGACCGTGTGGTGAATGAAGGTTAGAGAGTCAGAGACGATAGTATGGTGTGGTGGTGGGCCGGTGGCTGGCCAGAATTCGACACAGACATATGAGATGAGGGCTCGGTAAGGGAGGCTCAGGGGCTGCGCTTCGAGTTCGATGGATGGAATCAATCAATGGAACTGAACTACGAAAGTGAAATGGGATCTAACTTAAAAAAAATGAACAGCATAGATTAAATCCAAAACAATGAACGGTTGAAATAATTCTCTTGTAATTAAAAATAATATATATATATATGTCTACTAATTAATAAAACACTCATTGTCAACCAAAATCTTATGAAATTACCAGTTTAACCCACTAATTAAGACAAAACATGAATAAGAAATATGAGGCAGAAATGTAATTTCACACAACCAAATTTTGTTATTTTTTTTTCAAAGCCTCAGTACATGTAATCCTAACATATCTCTAATTAAAAATTAACAATTAAAAAAATTAAAACTTTCCACTTCGACATTCTCTATCACTCTCTTCCTCTTTCCTTCTGTCACAGCCCGTCCCGAGATTTTATTTATCGAGGTTGTGAAATGACGAAATTATCCTTGACGGGTGCTAAGGTATGTTTGTGACATATTATTGAACAATGCATATTTCCCTAAGTTTTGGAAAGTTTGAATTTGATTAAAGGTTGTATGTATTTTGTGTGGTTAGGGACTTAAGAAAAATTGATGGTGATTGTTTTGGGATGGACCACACACACGGGACACTTTCTCCTTCCCCGTGCCCTCTCTCTCTCTCATCTTTCTCTGTCACTCGTCTCTCTCTCTTCCTTCGAAATTGTACGGACCACACCCAAAGACCATCAAAACTTCATGGATCGAAGTGGAGATTAGCACCATTGTGTTCGTGAGTGCCCTACGAACTCAAAGGTACCATTTTCAGGTAAGAAACCCTTCGTTTTCACGTTGAAAACTCAAGGTCCGAATTGAGTACTATTCATGAACTTTGTAATGGTTGGTTTTTAGGACAATCCAAGCTCATAGTGAGCTCTAGGAAGTTCCCACGAAGCTCGGGGACGTTCGTTTGGAAGTTTTGGACGTCGGGACACCCTAGTTCGAAGGTGGCTGGTTTTGGTGAAGTTTCCCGACGTGATTTTCGAAGGTTTTGAGGCTCCAAAGAGGTATAGCCTTCTTCCCCTCATGATTTAGGACATTTTGGTGAAAATTTCATGGAAAATGGTTGAGAATCGAACGAGAAAATGGCGATTACAGGTCTGCCCAGTTTCCGGGGCCAGCGAGTTTTTCCGGCGACTGGAGGTAGGGGATGATGCGCGTGGGGGGCGCGTGGACCCGTGCCTATTCCAGCGCGTGCAACCTTGAAATTTTTTTCTAAAAATACCTCAACGTCTATGACGTCGAGTAGGTCACTGTGGTATATTCATATACCCAAATTGAACATCGTTTGAGAAGTTATTATGAATTGTCAGTTATGTGCTTTAATTAACGTTTTTATAGTTGTTTCACATATAGGTGATACCTATCCCGAAGATGAGCGCATCAAGGGACGTCACGGGGGTTACGACCATTCGACCTATCAGTGAGTGGGTAGTTATTTTCTGTTATTACCTATATACTACTGAATTTCCCAGAAATTGAATTTAAATAAAAGTATGTTTTTAAAATGCCATGCATGCATATTATGAATTATATGAATTAGTAATTGATGCATATATATATGAAATGGTGCTGTGGACGCACATGTGAGTATCATGTGAGTTTTATGTTATTCATACGATTTATTGTAATGTGAATTGTGTTGAGAGCTCATAACCTGCACCCCTAGTATTAGTGCTTATAATATTCACCGCACCGCACGCTCACCTTGGATCCAAGTGGGTGCATGTCGTACAGACCATGAGAGGGTTCCGACATGCTAGTCGTACAGATCACTAGAGGTGGTTCCGACTGGTAGGTGACCTTAGATTATGTGCACTGATGATTGATGAGGGAAGCACTAGAGCGTATTATTACACCATTCTTGTCGTACAGACTACTTCAGGTAGTTCCGACTTATATGCAGAGTAATGCCCTACAGGTCACCGTGGTGACTCCGGTTGGTTTAGATATTGAGATATGGAATTAACCGTACAGGACCAACTGCAGGGTCTCCGACTGATTCATTATGTCACCTGTTATATTGATGCATTCTTAATCCGTTATTGACATTTATGGCATGACATATTTTCTGGGTTTTGATAAAGAATTGTGATTTGAGATATATGAAGATTATATGCATATTATGTTATTTTCTGGGAAAGTATACAGGTTTTACAGTAAGGGGTTAGAAATGTTTTAAATAAAATGATTTTTGAAAAGCTTTGTTTTACTGACCCACTCAATTTTGTTTTGCGCCCCTCCAGGTTCTAGTTAGCAGCGTTGGTGGCCCACGAGGATTTCCACGGCATTCTGACAGACTACTCATGTAGGATTCACCTTCGGGTGTTGTAATTCAGTAATGTACCTACTTGACTGCACCTTGTACTTAGGCTCTGAATATGTGTGTTTCACACTTTAACTTACTCTAGCACGTTACTTAGTTATTATTGCTAGTATTTGGTTTTTGTTTATTCGTATTTCTCTTATCTATTGCTTCCGCGTCGCACTTTTGGTTACGTCACGCCCACGTGACAGCCATCACGCCTTGATTCTAGGATCGGGGTGTGTCACCTTCTATTTCAAAAATAAAAAATAAAAAAATTTATGCGTGCCCATATGCTAGTATATATAATATTTATTTTCAGTTCGGTATGAGAATACTGAAAATATGAAGATGCAAAACCAAATCTCATACCGAAAATTTCAGTTTGGTTCGGGATGACATACTGAAAATTTTGGAAATTTTGGTTTGGAATTTTTTTGATTTGGTTTGGGATTTTTGGGATTTTTTTCTAACCCAACTAATCACCCTACTAGCGTTTAGAGCAACTCCACCCTTGGAGCCCTCCCCCCAAGCAATCCACTATTCAATCCACCTTGTGAACAGTAACTGCCATAATGAACAGTAACTGCCTTTTGCATCTTCACCCTTGCACTTGAATAGCCCTGCCAATAAGCAATAAAATATTTATTAATTTTTTTTTTTACAAAATAATATTAAATAAATTTATTTGTAATTTCGGATAAGATATTTTAAATCGTTCTCGTTGCGTCACGTGTCATTTACCCAAAACGACTATTATTGGTCATAGATTTCGATAAGATTTTTATCGAATGTCATCGTGCCACGTGTCGTTATCTTTTCAGAATATTTGAGGATAGATTTCGATCAGATTT